GGAAAATGAAACACTTCTTTTGCAGATGCATTTTCCAAGCAAGCACTAGAAAGTCAGTGGGATCGTGTAAGAGTTATTTGTCGTCAACCTTATAGGTTGGACAAACAATTTGGATTGTCATTCATGAGAGTAGGGTCTCCTCCAAATGACTCTTTCCCATCCTCTCCAGAAGGGGTGTCTGGCAAAACTGCAACATCAACATCTGGGCAACCTTCAGATGAGGAAAATGACGAGGATGGTGTAATGAGGTTAAAGAAGGCTTCAGGACTTATGGGATGTCTCAGGTAAGAAACACAATTTCAGTCATTTAAGTGGACAACTGGATACTCAAGTGTCTTTATTAATCTTGCATTCAGTTGCATACCAGACATGTTTCTTGTTTGTCTCTCAATTTTAAATATTTTTTTTAATGTAAATATGCAGTGCACTACACGGTGATTGTAGAGCAACTTCATCAGTGTGGAATTTTGCAATCAGATCTCAGAAATCTTTGATGCATGGACTGGCTAATTATAGGGATATTAACTCAGGAGATTGACCAGGCATGTAGGGATCTTGCAGGGACATTGAGCAATGAGTTACATGTAGCATGAGAGTCATAAGACATAAGAATCGAGATGTCCAGTAGTATTTCTTCATTAGCATGATTACACAACTTATTGTTCTAAGTAAAATTTTACAGAAAGCCATAAAGATTTTTAGGGCACTTATAATGTATATCTTTTGATCATAGCACTTAGCTGCTGTATATAGCATTATTGGCTAGTACTTTTATATTTGCAACTTTCCCACCCACCCTCTTCCACAGATGTTAGCATGATCTTGTTAGTTATGTTTGTGATTACTTTAATTATTGTCTTAATCATGTCTAGTTTCAATGTAGTAGATATTGTATTTCCTTGTGGGCCAATAGTTATCCACATGATTGTAGATATATTATTAGATTTGTATTGTATACTCAATAAACTGCCTGATCCCAAATGTGCATCATATGTCTGTCTCTGGGTTTAGCAAGGTCTGAGGCATCTGTTTTCACACCCCGCAAATGCTATAATGCATTGACAGTACTGTTATTGCAAAAGGACAAACAAAACTTGTCTTTGTACAAAGTGAAATTGACTGTAAAAACTTGCCCTCATTTAATTTTAAGAAAATGAACAATTTGAAGTGTATAACAAGAATATATAAGGTAAACTGTTTGCAAACTTTTTGTTGAATCTCTCACGACTGTTAAGTGTGTGCAGGGTCCAAAATTGCACTTTCCTGGTCGCCAATGCGACTAAAAAATTTTGCTCTGGCGACCAGAATTTCACAACTGGTCGCCAGCGGGTGATTAACTATTTCATGCCATGACAATTATACAATAACT